AGGAATGGTAAAAAAAAGTTTGGATTTTAAAAAAAACCTCTTCATATTATATATGTACATGAAGGGGTTAGAATTAAAAGGCGACTAAGTGCCATTTTTTAAGATAAAAAAAGAGATATTGGTGTCATCATGACCCTTGACACCAAACTATCGGATAAGATACTCAGGTCACGAACCCGCCATCCCCCCCCCCCCTCAATTAGCAGAAATACTCAGGTCACGAACCCGCCCCCCCCCCCCCCTCAATTAGCAGAAATAAAACGATTTTGTCACCCAGTTCTACATATGGTCGCTTTAAACACAAAGGGGGCAATCCCAAAAAATGCTGTTTTGAGAAAATCGAAGGTAAAGGTTTTGCCCCTTGTTCAGTTTCTATAAAAGACAAGGAGAGTTTTCTCTTTAACCAAACAAATATACAAACCAAGGAAACCAAACTTCTCCTATAGTTAGGGCAATGCCCACTTTTGGTATAGGTCAAGATTTCTGGAAACCTCCGAAATCTGGGTTAGCCCTATTGTCCTTAAAAGGGACCATATTATTGTCTTAAATTTGCTGAACTGAAATCAATGTCACCCACGCATTGCATGCCCAGCAGTTTGAGTCAATTTGTGACCTTGTATCAACTTAATCGTATGTGAGGCAGCGTAGTGGAATCAGGCTCTCGTCAAAATAATCAAAGGGAAGAAACTTGCATTTTTCCGCAGGTTTGTAAATTTTAATCAAATTTTTGTTTTTGGGCTCGACACCTTTCATGCCCATTAATCATTTCTGTGTGAATTTTTTCTGAAATAAGTTGATTAAAGGCACAAAAGATGTAAATTTTCAGTTATCACGGACTCTTAAGCCAAGGAAATAACTAATCTTTGGCGGCCATTTTCTCACTAATTTTACCTCTGAAAACAGGCGACCCCCACCTTCTTCATTCTCAAATATCTCGACTTGTATTTAAGATAAACGAATATTTTTCCCTCCAAATAAAGACAAATGAACAAGCTTTAAGATGATACATACCAATAACTCTACGTGCCCAAAAATTGACGAGAGCCTGATTCCACCACGCTGCCTCACATATGGTTAACTCCAAGCAAAGGAATTGACTCCAGTGTAATTGACTGTGAAGACAACAAGCACGGCGGACGTGTGATTCCTAGTTCGCTGTATTATTACAAAGTTGACACCTTTCGTTTACTTACTGCGTCTCGTAGTTAGATAAAAACCAATAGTCCCGTGGCCGTGGGCTCTGGAAGTCCGTTTTTAACATGTTTTACCATCTTCAAGGTCTAAGTAAGAAAATTAGCCCCCATGCCTCTTTTTAAAATGTGGGCGTTACCCATGAGGCCTTGAAATCCAAGATGGCCGCCAAATGGCAAAAATCGATATTACTCATTGTCTTTTACCAACTCACCTTATTATTATGTAGTGTTTATCTCGACCGCATTTTTTCTCTGAATCTTTACTCCAAAGTAGATTTTGACCTCTCAAGAATACTTTACCGTTATTTATATGCATGTAGATGACACTTAAGATGAACAAGTGTAAAATAATGTATGATGTGATAGATAGATAGATAGATAGATAGATAGATAGATAGATAGATAGATAGATAGATAGATAGATAGATAGATAGATAGATAGATATAGGTAGATAGATAGAGATATAGGTAGATAGATAGATAGATAGATAGTTGTAATTTCGAGTCCAGTCAGTGACATGCACTCTTTATTTTTTCCTCATGTATACTCAGAAAGCACATGAAATTGACACAAAGTTTGAACGTTTTTAAGGAAAGTTTAATTGGTGACTTGTTATCTAAAAAGTGCTTTGGAGATTTCAGTCTACATTTTTGACAGGTAGCTTAATGTTTCCCAACATTATACAAGATACGCCATGAAATAGATGCCCATGCTTAAAGCAACGGGAGCACTGTTAGCTGTATACCAAACGTTTGGACACTATCAGATTTCTCTAGGTACCAGGAAAAAAGGCAGTAGGTGGGTTCTTTGATGACAGTGTCGATCTTTTTGCCAACATCGAGGCGATCTTTTTCAAGCAGATTAAAGATCTGCGTTTAGAATGGCTTCCCAGACGTCTTTTGCTTGCTGAAGTTTTTCTTTCACTGTTTCCACAATACCTCTCGTTGCTACTGCGTCATCAGGGTGGAGCGCATGCTGAAAACCCTCAAATAATTTATCAATCTGGTCAGCAATATCAATGAGGGAACCTCTCTTGTCAAGATCATTATTTGGGTGAATCGCATGTTTGATTCCCTCTATCATCTGATCAAGTGTATCAGCCACATTAACGAAAACACCTCTCTTGGAGCTATCATTCGATTTGTCAATGACAGAGTTAAGAATGGTTTGGATCATTTTTACCAGATCCTCCAAATTCCTCTTGGAAGAGGTGGGACTGACATTATCAACAAGATGATTAATTTCCTTGATGATATTCTCAATTATTACAGCGGCACCGTGAAGATTTCTCTTGTCGTTGTTAGGTTGAAGAACCTTCTCGATTTCCTTGATGATATTCTCAATTATTACAACAGTATCGTGAAGATTTCTCTTTTCTTCTGCAGGGATGTACAGACCAGAGGCCACAGTCGCAAGAGCCAGACAGACGATTGCCAATTTCATTTTGGGGTCTGGAAATAATAATACAAGATTTCAGAATGAGTGCACATTTATACGTACAAACATGTATAAATACGTACATAATATAATAATGTACATAAGCACAAACATACATAAATACTTATAAACCTGAAGACCGGTGGTGCACACATTTTCGTCCAACATCTTCGTTTCACTAGATGTCTTTGCCCAATTTTCCTCAACAACCATTCTACCTGTTATCGTCTGCATTTGCGTTGTAACGTAACTGATTATCGTACAGCACCTATTACCGGCCCCCCCCCCCCCCCCCCCGTCGTTCTCGTCCTTCTCGTCCTCCTACCTCTCTCTTTTTTATATGTCACTCTAATTACTTAACAGGAGTTTTTGAGACTTTTAAAATGTAGGAGTTTTTAAGCCCCCATCTACACAATTTAGATAATTTACGGGGTAGGCTTCCGATCCTGTCTACCACGTCCAACCTGGGCTACTGGACTCGTAATCGTGAGGTTGCATGGTCGGGGGTTCGACCCGCGGGCCAGACGTTGTGTCCTTACTTGGGAAAGGCACTTAACACGAATTTTCCTCACTTCACTCAGGTGGAAATGGGTACCCGGCCATAGACAGCGAAGATCTTGTCAGCATGTTAGTGTTTTAGCGCCTATAAATGGGTGCTTGCATTGAATGCTTCCCATGAAGTTGAGTTTGTTTCAGAATGCTCTCAGGTCTGCTGGGGTAATAGTGTAGATTGTGAAGCGCATATATCTTGCTGTTGAGCGGGGATTTACGTTATACCAAATGCTATCTACAGCATCCCAGTAGCAAGACCGAGGTGCTCGAGTGAAATGTATCCCCACTTGGGAATTGAAATTGGGCCTCCTGCGTGCGACAGCGAAGCGCCTAGCCCCTACAGCATAGACACCGGTGCCAAAAAGTTCTAACGCACAATCTATTTCTATGGGTATGAGGGCTTATTAAGGGGGGGGGGGTACACCTGAAGGCTATCTCGCTTATTAGGCGACCAAATTTTTACCACATTTCACTCGTACAACAAGCGTATCTTTCACTCGTACAACAAGCGTAGGAAGGAGTCTTAACATCCGCAATCAAATTTGAGAAAAAAGTTTTGTGTCCTTGAATACGGCGACAATATTGGATGTTGTTGACATGTCTTACGTCATGAATACCGCACTTATCGCTCATGGAAATTAATTGCTTTTTTTTGCATACGTATTAACAAACATTAGATCTAAAAATTTGTTTGTTGTTTTTTTCCTAAACGAATTAGAACATTTTTAATGAATTTTTTCTTGAGGTAGTATTCAAATTCGAAAAAAATCCGTGAAAATCCACACTCCAGACACCGCAAACAAAAATTTATTCGGTATATAAAAAAATCAAAATACAACTTTTTAGTTTTACATCTTCTTTTCATTCTGTGAAAGGTTCATGAAGATTGGATGAAAAATGGTGGAGTTATTCCAAAAAGTATAGACAAAAATCGTGTTTTGAGAAAAATAAAAATAAAATATTGACTTTATGAGGAAATGGTGGTGACAAAATGGCCGGTATGGGAAGACGTCAGGTTTGTGAGGGTTCTAATGCGATGAAATAGTTGTAGGAGAGGCTGAGGAAGCTAAAAATACCTGCAACTCAAATTCCATAATTTTGAGCCGAATCAGGACTTTGGGGGTGAAGCGCCCCCACCCCAACCCCTTTAAGCAGGACGCGGAAGCCACGCCTTTGACCTTTGGTTAAAAAGTACTTACATAAAGTTAACATATTTTTAACAGTTGCACACTTGGTCTACACTTTTGATTCAGTCTGCTAGTTTGAAGATGGAACTTCGCTTTAATGTTAAGTTGTTCACATTTTGATCATAAAAGGAAATGGTTAACCCCCGACCCCTTTTTCCCACCAGCCTAGTCCGACTCGGTCCAGTGACAGAAATATGCAATGCTTCATCCATGAAAAGAGGTATGTGCACATTCTGTTCTATTTCATAATAGAAACGTTATTTAATAAATGAGGGCTTTCTGTGATGTGATGTGGGCTGATGGCCTGAAGAAATGGCCAAAATTATGAAATATGAGACATTGTGAGGAAATCAGGCGCTTGCCAAAATAATGAATTCAAAGAAATTTATTGCATTTTCGCGTCCGTTTACTTTTTGGCCCCGCACCTTTCAAGTTCCTTTAAAAAAAACACATTTCTGTGTGGATTTTACTGAAAAAAAAGTTGATTAAAGTCAAACGAATGCGAAGTGGCAGTTTTCAAGGACTCTCAAGCGTTGGAAGTCACCAAACTTTGGCGGTCATTTTCTCTCTCACTTCTGGCGACCCCACCTAATTCAATAGCAAATATCTCAACTACTACTCAAAATAAATAAATATTTTTTCTTCAAAAGCGAGACAATTGAACACACTGTAAGATGATACCAATGGTATCAACAACTTTACATGCCCAAAAATTGACGAACGCCAGTTTGGTCATGGAACATGCGGTTAAAAAATATAGATAACCTTTGTATAGCGCAAATCACCGCTCAACAGTAAGCTCTATGCGCTTCACAATCTATACTATTACCCCAGCTGACCTGAGAGCATTTTGAAACAATCTCAACTTCCTGGGAAGCATACAGCGCAAACGGCCATTTATAGGAGCTAAAGCACTGACATACTGACAAAATCTTTCGCTGTCTATCGCCGGGTACCCATTTCCACAGGGGTGAAGAGAGGAAAATTCGTGTAAAGTGCCTTTCCCAAGGACACAACGTCGGGCCCACGTCTCGAGCCCCCGAACCCGCAACCTCGCGATTACGAGCCCGGTGGCCTAACCACTCGGCCAACGACGCCACTAAACATGGTTTAAACTTGATTGAAGCCCAGATTGCGCACTCAAAAGTCTTGCTCAGTAGCCAATGAGAGAATGAGTTGGTTCCTTCAGGATGTCATTCTCTGATCAAAGGATACTGGACACCAGTTCTGATCTACATTATGCGATTGGTGTTAAAGGCATGAGAGGACAAAATAAATCCCCCTACTGTAAACTAAACGACAACTGATGGTCTAAAATGCACTTTAAAAAAAAGCGTTTTCCAAATATTTTGAGATCATTTTTTTTTGGCTTGAAGAAATTTGAACAGAGGTTTAATGGTATATTACATATCAGCCTTCAGCTTGAAGAAATTTGAAGTTAGTTTAACAGGATAATATGATCTTTATTATAGTTACGTGAATTCACCTTGCTGTATCTGCTTTCTCAAGGGAAGAAGGTACTCTGTTATCGAGGAGACGAGGAGGATCAGCTCTCAGACTCTGCCGTCTGATACATCTCTGTTTGTCGGCTTTTTTATAAGCCTGAATCTGAGCTTGTTGTGACTCTCTGTGCCAGATTTAGAACTGAGGCCAAGTCGATAAGAAAGATCACAAAGGAGTTCACAGCAACTATATGTGGGCGATCGGTAAAAGATTTTTTTTTAAGTATAAAAAGAATTCTTCGATCGTCTGAGTAAATCTACATCTGCCACGATAGATAAGAAACATAACGCATCATGTCTTTTATTTGACCACAGTACGTGTTCTTTGTCTGCCCGACCCTCCTCCCCCCTTAGTCCTTAAAAACCCACCTAAAAACAAACAAACAAACAAACAACAACAACAACAACAACGAATTACTAACTAGGTCACTTGCAATCTGTTACCATCTGCGTACTAGTCCGATGGCGCTCAACTCTAAAGAGACTTTCATCTTCCGCTGTCTTCGCTTTGTTGTATTGTTTCGTAAACTTGAAAACCACTGTGGGCTTTTTAGTGAGAGATGTAGGAGGCTGCCATCCCTTATGTCTAATTTCTTCAATTTCCCACGAACTTGTCACCAGGTCCTTTTTTGTTCTTGTTTGTTTGCATGACCAAGATACGTGTCTCTTTTTGCTGATCTCAGAAAACATACCATACGGCGTATTAAGTTCTTGTTTTTTTCAAGATATATTAACCAGTTCTTTTACCTTTCAATTTGAAATGACGCCTGTAGTGTAGCGGCTCTGTGCTTTGTTGTCGTACACAGAAGACTCGTGGTCGATTTCTAGGTAGAGTGAAATTTTATCGAATGTCTCTGTCTTTCTTAAGGTACTATGTGGGGTTAACAGCCAATGAAGAATGCCAATGACACGATTGCCCTATCAGACATGGTATAGGAGACCAACTGGAATAATAAAACTAGGAAGACCAACAGGAAGCTAATAAGAAGGGATGAGACAATCACCTAGGGCCTGGATGTGCCAAGATTGGAGAAGGTGGCCAGGGACAGACAAGTGTGGCGTCGACTGCTCTCCGCCTTATGTGTGTGACGGTATAGGGAGACAGCAAGTAAGTAAGTAAGTAAGTAAGTAAGTAAGTAAGTAAGTAAGTAAGTAAGTAAGTAAGTAAGTCAGTCAGTCAGTCAGTCAGTCAGTCAGTCAGTCAGTCAGTCAGTCAGTCAGTCAGAATAAGTAAATAAGTAAGTAAGTAAGTAAATAAGTAGGTAAGTAAACAAGTAAGTAAATAAGTAAGTAAGTAAGTAAATAAGTAGGTAAGTAAACAAGTAAGTAAATAAGTAAGTAAGTAAATAAGTAAGTAAGTAAGTAAATAAGTAGGTAAGTAAACAAGTAAGTAAATAAGTAAGTAAGTAAGTAAATAAGTAGGTAAGTAAGTAAGTAAGTAAATAAGTAAGTAAGTAAGTAAATAAGTAGGTAAGTAAACAAGTAAGTAAATAAGTAAGTAAGTAAATAAGTAAGTAAGTAAGTAAATAAGTAGGTAAGTAAACAAGTAAGTAAACAAGTAAGTAAGTAAGTAAATAAGTAGGTAAGTAAGTAAGTAAGTAAGTAAGTAGGTAAGTAAGTAAGTAAGTAAGTAAGTAAGTAAGTAAGTAAGTAAGTAAGTAAGTAAACAGGTAAGTAAATAAGTAAGTAAATAAGTAAGTAAGTAAGTAAGTAAGTAAATAAGTAAGTAAGTAGGTAAGTAAGTAAGTAGGTAAGTAAGTAAGTAAGTAAGTAGGTAAGTAAGTAAGTAGGTAAATAAGTAAGTAAGTAAGTAAGTAAGTACGCACGTAAGTAGGTAAGTACGTAAGTAGGTATGTAAGTAAGTAGTCGTCTTATTCAGCGTCGAGTTTCAACTGTTCAATTTTTGTGTGGTTTGTTTCCTTAGACTCTGTTTGTCAAAAACTGCCAAGGTGAATAATTTCAGGGGCTGGAGTTAGGGGAATGTGGTACTCATTCATTTGTTCATTTTGATTTTCGGCGTTCCCCAATCATTTTTTGCAACCATATAAGGGCCACTCTTTCACTAGTTTAAAAAAAAAATTGCTGAAATAATATTCAGTTACTGGGACGTTGTATTTGTCGATATTTAACCCTATCCGTACGTCGTGTTTTACTGTCGCATCCCTACGACGTGGGGAACTCTGTGCCACAACTTTCCAAAGAGGAAATTTACTCGTTTATCCGATCCGTACACTTTTTCATTTATAAAGTAGAGGGTTTTACGGCGCTCGCAACTGCGTAAGGTCATATAAGCGCCAAGGGGTGGGTGTCAACAGAGAAGTCTTTACAGGGATACAGACTTAGACTGCTCACCTCTCTAGCTTCAACAGCACAAGGTCTGCTTCGACTGTCAAGGCACCCCGGAAATAGCAGGTCACAAGAGAGTGACACCTCCAACAGGAAGTGGAGAAAAAATGACAATAGTAAGGACCAAGAAAGAAAAAGACGCAGTTCTTTTTTTTAGTTCAGCAACATTTTAGGCCGTTCAAGAGAACCTCCCTCTCCCAGTTGTTCTTTTCTTGAACAAGAGAAGCCCCCCCTCGGAGAATGACCTAAATACCCTCCATACTTGGGCCTTTTCTCGGGGGGGGGGGGGGGGGGGGGGGGTAGATGTAGATCCGTACGCTTTGCTTAGCAGTCTGTCAAAATGATTTTTTTGAGAAATACTGAAAGTTTCAAATATATTTTCGTATTAGAAGTATTCTAAAATGTGAAGAATACAACCCCGGTGTACAAGGATGGGTTTAAAAATAAGTTCATTTGTTCGAAAAATGCCAAATTATTTAAAATAAAAAAATAATCCAAAATTGAAAGCAACATAAAACTTTGCAACCTCTTAAAAGTCAGCCTCATTGTTCTACCTCAAATAATCACGATTTGTTCATTGAAGAAAACATTAATACAGAACTAACATTGTTATTTAAATCTCCAGATGTAGACCATTCATTCTTTTCATACAGGATCCAATACGCCACTGGACATTTTTATAACCTTGCGGCATTTTCTGGGTCGATTATTTCTTTCGACGTCGTCCTATTCAGCATCGAGTTTCAACTGTTCGATTTTCTGTGTGGGTTGTTTTGCTAGACTCTGTCTGTCAAAAACTGATAAAGGTAATTTGGGCTCAATTTAGGGGGAATGTGATACCCATTCATTTGTACATTTTCAGCTTTTAAGACGTTCCCCAATCATTTTTTGCAACTATATCAAGGCTACTCTTACACCAATTTCAAAAAAAGTTTGCTGAAATAATATTCAATTATGGGGACGTTGTATTTGTCGATATTTGAAAAAAGCAGTTCATTCCTTCGAAGAAAGCCAAATTACATTTTTTTTAATCAACCAAAATTGAATGAAACGCAAAACTTTGCGACTTCTTAACAATCAACTACATTGTTCAACTTCAAATGATCACTATTTGTTCATTAAAGAAATATTAATACAGAACTAACATTGCTATTTAGAACTCCAGATGTAGACCATTAATTCTTTCCCTACAAGCTCCATACGCCGCTGGACAATTTTATAACCTTGTGGCATTTTTCTGGGTCGATTCTTTCTTTCAACGCCGTCCTATTCAGTGTCGACTTTCAACTGTTGGATTTTTGGTGGGTTGTTTCCCTAGACCCTGTCTGTCAAAAGCTGCCAATTATACCCAATTTTGGTTGGAGTTGTTAAAATTTGATATTTCTCGAAAGCGTCAAATGATTTTCTCCATATTTTCAAATAATAATAATAATTATTATTGTAATGATAATAACAATAACAATAATAACAACAATAATAATAATGATTATAGCAATAATAACAATGATAATTATAATATAAATAATAATAATAATATGAATGATAAATTTCGATCGCTTTTGTACCGCTATGAAATACTTCAGAGGAATATTGTATCCTTCTTAGACAGGGTTGGCCTTGATAGGCAAGGTCGGAAGCCCGCCTCCTAAATGATCTTAATAATTGTGTCGTTAGTGAAATGAAAACACTTACGTTACAAAAAAAAACGACTCCTGAGAAGTAGATTTTAAGGCTCCAGTTTTTAAAACCAGGTATTTATTCTTTTTTTTTTTTTTTTTTAAA